TAAGATCCTCCTCATTTGTAAGAAAAACCCAAAGTTTGAATACAACCTTTGTCTGCTACATTGTCTGCTCTATGGATAACATTCTAATAGTATACAAATAATATTTTCTCTGTAGCTGTTTCACTTTTCAGTCAGATTTTGTATGCTGAGTAGAAAGGTTCAGGTGCTATAGTTGGTATGTAACCTTTCCTGCACATACCTAAAGTTTCTCCAAAAGGGCCTTCAAAAGTCTTTTTAAACTTGCACTGTCACTTAATCATTAAAGCATTCAAATGCAAAAAGAGCCATGAAGCACTTTATCAAGTAAAATATTATATGGCATACAGACAAAAAGAACTTTCTGAACAAAGTCTTCTTGGTAGGGGTCGCAACAAACATAATACATCTGATAAAAAGATAGAAAACTAAGGAAATGACAGAGTAAATCACCACATCTTTTTCATTCACACATAGGCACGCTGCATACTGTTATCACTGTTGTACAACTCCAGCTGCACACTCCCTCATAAATATCAACCCCTCAGACATCCCATTTAGTAAAAGAACTATCTCCAAACACAAATATAAGCAAGCAATAGTGCAGCAGGTCGGCTGACAGATGGTGCATGTGCTAAAGGGAAGATCTGAGTACATAATCCTTCACATACCCATAAGATACAGAGAGTTCACCCCACGACTCATGCATCACAAAATATTTGAATGTGGTAACATTAAGGTGCATGCCTCTGTGGATAAAAGTTGATATAAGACTATTAGCTCGGAGGTTTTCTCTGTGAAGAAAAACATTCCGGTGTCAATGAGACACTCCAAGTACTTCACAAGAAGTTGCGTTCCTCTGGGCACCTACAGATGTGCTTTACACAGACACTAGACACACACGCGCAGCCCCCCGCGTATACGTGCTCCTTAACGCATGGGATTGAAAAAGGAGGATGAAAGAAGCAAAGTTTGTAGCAAGAGATGATAACTTTTATGAGATCAACTGAGATACTGGAAAAAGACGCAAGTTTTTGGGCACACTATCCTCTAAGGCTGCACCATAAACAAAACTAAATTCAGACTGCTATATCATCCCACCTCCCCCCATTCATGCAGCCATGTTGTGGTCCTTCTTCTGCCATTGCACCAGCAGTAGTTCAGGAGCCTGCACATGCTGAGGCATTTTGGAAACTGGTCTGGCACAACACCAGCTAAACACAGCTGGGTGGTAGAAGGGAAAAATCAGTTAAACCCAGTTTAGGCCAGTTTAAACTGCCATGAAACTACTCTGTGAAGATGTAGTTTAAATAAGTGAGAAGAATCTTATTTGTGTAGTGACAGGCATATCGAAAGAAACTGCCCCATCCTCCTCTCTGCTCACAATATATTCTTTCCCCTTCCCTCCTGTCAGTGCTTCCGATCACATGGCTGCAGGGTAAGTCAGGTCAGCTGCCTGATCTAGCTGAAAGTTAACATAGCAAGGACTTAAATTTAAAAGATTAGCCTGAAAAACTTAGAAGAATCATGCACTGAGCACAAAGCTAGTTAATGCACTTTGAATACACAAGAACGTTTTGTTCGGGAAAAGGGGATAAGATTGCTATCTTCTATCAAAAAGGGACAGAAATACACAAACAAGCATCCTCCATGGAACATGAGGGCAGCAGCTGAATACCAGAGTGGAAAAGGGATTGCAAACTTATAACAGCAGCAAACCTAAACAACAGCAAAACCTATACTGAATATAGACAACAGCTTCTTTCTACTTGGAATATATCTTTGGACTATTGAATTTTAGAAGTCTAACAAACACATAGCTCCCACAAGCTTTTTCTAAAGTACACCACACCACCACTGACTTAACAGATAAGATACAAAACACTAGCTCATAGAATATAACATACTAGAAGCACAAACTTATGTATTTATAATGCACATCTCCGTAAAACCAGTAACAGCTACCTGTAATACACTAGAAGCACTCAGATATAACCTCATTTGCATTGAGAGGAACATTTTCTCCTTTAGAACATACCAATAATTTTAGAAAAAATATCTTCTATTACTTTAGGGAAATAGATTTCATTTTTCAATAAACTATCTGAATAACTCACATTCCTGTGTAAAAAAAGGAAATATCTGACCAACAGTTATTAGGTCAGACCCTACATAAAAACACGATTAAGTTGTTATAACATATGTAGTAGAGGAAAACACCACCTTGAAACAAGCCATCCCCAAATTCTACACGTTCTAAAACAGCGTATTCTAGCCAGTGCTTCAGATGATGTTGAGGAAGCCACATCAGTAGAATTTAACAGGTACATATCAGATAGTTTACAAAAGTAGCTGATAAAGGACCCCATTTTCTATGAAAGAACATTACTTACAAAACAGCCAATCCATATCCTTCTCCCCAGCTCTATCCTCCAAGGAAGATTTTCAAGCACCTTTAAGAGATAAGATTAGAAATTAGAATTCATATTTCTATCAAACAGTATCAATAATAACAGGGTTATTACTGAACTATTGCTTTCATGCTACCTCTTAACTGTTTGTTTTCCGCAATAAGTTACTTCTTTAATCCGTCCCCAGCCCTGACAGGAACAAGCAACCTTCTCATTCCACGCTTTCTTAATAGCCCTCTGTGTTTTCCGGACAGCAAATATCTTTTCTCTTCAAAGATACACCTGATTTAAGCAATGAAATTAGGCTTGATTACTCTCCATTTGTATTTAACATTAGAATTGCTGCTTCTCTATTACACCTGAACAAAAAACTTGTGTGCTTCAAGACTTACTCATTTTTTCCTAACTGTTGCAGGTGTTTTAATAAAAGGTATCACCTCTTGCATCACTTACATTTGTAGGCAAATGTGGCTACTATAGCAATACTAAAGCACTCAGCAGAAGCAGATAAAAAGAACATTGAATAACGAGCTGTCAAAATTCACAAGAATTGAAGGTAGCTGTTTTCCTCACGCAAAACAGATGATACTCACCTGAGGGAAAAGAACAGAAGGAAGTACACAAGCGATAGTTTTTCTGATCCTAGAACAATAGCAGGATGATAGGGCATGACCAGAGATTAAAAACCTCTTAAAAACGTGTTCAGAAATCTTTTTTTGGCTTTACTAGGTCAACTCACTGCAGAAGCGTCTGGTTTTTGAAGACTTTGAAATGTTAGCGCAAGTACTGCCATGCAAATAGTCAAAAAATTTAAAGTTCTTAAATCCTTACAGCATGAAGTCATCTGGGAAGGGTATGGAAGGCTATCCTGCTAAAAGTGCCTTCATGTCTGAAAACTAAATATCTGTTTTATTAGTTTTTGAAACTTCAGGACAAAAGTTAAGTTTGGATTTCTTCAAAGTATCTTGTGAGATTAAATGTATTTTACTTAAAGGCACTACAGACAACCCAGAAAAGTACAAAAATAATGCTTACGCTTGTCTCAGAGAAAGGCTCTGGTACAGTAAGATATCAAAGCAGTTGGGAAGCAATTTTCACCAAAGATTTGATCAACTTTTCAAAAACATTGTGAAGATTTTATCTGTAAATTTTTGCAGGCTCAAATATGGGAGTGAGGAATTGCCATCTAAATGTAATGGTATAGGAGAATACTCTTTAGGGTATTTTGGTCACCTTAATACCATCTAATAGTTTCACAATAGGCAATGTTGGCCAAAAATGATAAATAACAATAATTTATCATGAGTAGTTAAAACTATCTGCTGACTGTCATTAACAACGTACGTGAAATCCTCCCATGGATTAAATGAACAGAGGCATTCACACTGACCATGTTTTAAGATACAAATTCTCAGTAACTACCTATGCAGCTGCCCATCGCTGCTATCTTGCATTAAGCCAAAAAACATCAGACAAAGCACCACTAAATAAAACTGACCTCCAAAAAGAGAGGAGGGGTGTACAAAGCAAGGTCTAAGGGAAGACGTTTCTGTCCATTCTCCACATCAATTTGACAGCAGAAGAGTCTGAGAGAAAGACATCGGTGATGAATAGCAGCAACAGCTGTACAGGCTTTAAGCTCTTTCTTCAACACTTTTTGAATGAGAATAAAGCAAGATGATAATAGTAGTTTCTGTCCTACTGTTTAAGCACTCTCCTCTTTTAAAGGGGGTTTCAGTGAGGTGGCATCTGAATTCCCTGAGCTTTAAGGGGGAGCAGCAATGCTGGTAGGTAGGCCGCAGGGGAGAGCGGCCTCCCACCTGACAAGCCCGATCACCACCAAAAGTGGCCTGTCGGCAGCTCACTGCCTGCACCCTGGTCCCCATACGACAGCACCCGGCCGAGGAGCACTACCTAGGGCTTTAAAGCGGGACGGCAGGCCGCAGAAGTGTCTGGGAGCGTGAAACCAGGCTGCAGCCTCTGGTGC